TCAGTTGGTAAGGCTCACAAGTGGCATTCAGGAGGTCGTGGGTTCAATCCCCATTCCAGGGTATGCGTGGCGCCCGCCACCTAGAGATAGGCCACTGGATCCCCCGATCGGCATTGAGTAGAGTCTGCTGATGTTCGTAGGGGAGGGGACCTGAGGGGAGGCACAGGGATTGGTCCTGTTGGCATGGTCCCTGATGCTACCAGCTGTCCCCTGGCCGGTATCGCCCACCTGCAGGTCGGGAGCAGCGCCCGCATGTTCTCTCGTGAACACGGTTCTGGCTGCTACGGGGTTCCCCAAATGCGTACAATTAGGAGTAGTGGTTGGTAGGTAGTGTGAGGTGAAATTGAGAGGAGAGTATAGCTTTTGTTAAAAATAAAAAAAATAAAAATAAAAAGGGAGGAGGAGGGGAACAAAGATCTCCTTACTTTTTCGGGTAGTACTGTAGTACATGTAAAATACTGACCATGGGATCACGAGATGTTCAGTATTTTGCTTGCTGTTGTGCAATTACCTTACTGGGTGGAGCCCTCCTTCAATCACGCAGTATATGGAGGGGGTCATGATCACTGCTGACAGAAGGTGAAATTATTCCAGAAAATGTGGCAGTTACTTTGTTCAGTGTTGTTAATTTTTAAAGGTAAGCTATATTCTTCTCTCATCTATCTCTTTTTTCTTGATAGTACGCATCTATCTCATCCTCTCACTATTCTATATGTAGTATGGAGGAACACCAACCAACCCGGATCCCTCCACAGCCCACAGGGTAGGTTGGCACCACAGCTGTGGTGCAAGGGCAAGGCTGTACCAGTCCCTCATCACGGTGGCGAGGGGTGGGCAGGCATTGCCGATGGGGGAAATCGGCGGTGCTAGCGCCGAGCAATGGCCAGTCACTGCACCTCCGCCTACCCCCCCGCAACCCCACATGGCGGTGTCTAATGGCCAATATTGTCGCTGCATAGCAGCCAACAACATCAGCCAAGGTCCTGCCAATGCTGGCTTGGGGGGCCAACGGGTTCTCTAGCTGGTAGAACACCAAGCTTGCCCAGGCACATCGTGAGGCCAATGGGGATTGAACCCACGACCTCCTGAATGCAACTTCTGTGCCTTACCAACTGAGCTAGGCCCGCAGGCCTTTGTTCAGTGTTGTTGCAACCACCACCATCAGATCATTTGTGATCTGATGACTGGGAAGCACTCTGCCGTGATTTCCGGTGGGAGGTTTCTATTTTTTCTTTTTTTTTTTCTGCCTTTCTCCTGTTTTCTCAGCTCAGAAATTCGTAATGAACCTGTACGGCCGCTGCCACTCAGGGGTGGACCCCACTGCCTGGCGGAAGCTTTCCAGGCGGAAAGATTCCACCAAACCCAAATCGTAGGCCCCGGCGATGGGAAACAGAAAAGCGGACCCCACAGCAACACAAATTTTTGGCAGGTCCGTCTTTGCTGGTTACCGGATAGGGAAAACTTTCCCTATACAGAAACTTAACATCCGCTTGTCTCGGTGCTCGTCCAATCCCTGGCTCTCCTTTTTACATGCTACGCGCAAACCAAGGGGGGTGCCCCCCCCCCACCTACCCCCTCAAGATGGCCGAACCGCAAGGAACCGGCAAAACCAAACTGAGTGGAAACGCTTGCCACATCATTTTCCGAAGCTTTGCCGCAAAGCAGTGGGGTCCACCTCTCAGTGTCACACTGGATAGGCCATCCTCCTATCCGACTGCTAATGGGACTATGCTACTGGACAGGAGAATTCCAGTAAGTATGCAATTAAAGCGCGTCGTCACCGACGTGAAAAACACTCTTACAATTGCGAAGTATCGAGAAACCAATCCGATACAAAGAGAACACAAATATGCAAACAGAATGGATGGCCTTTCAGGCCTTTTTTATTGTCATTATAGTATTACAGGAACCCCGTAGCAGCCACATCTGTGCTCAAGCCTCCAACGAGCCCCGAGTGGCATCGAGCAGAGAGTGCTAATGTTCATAGGGGGAGGGGACTGGAGGGGAGGCGCAGTGGCTGGCCCATGGAAGAAGCTCGGTTCTGATGCTTCCGTGAACTCTTTGTGGGCTCTATGCTTGTCACATGTATAAAATAAAAATTAAAAAAGAAACAGAGCCAGTGTGTCCTCCAATGTGTGCAATTGTTGATTCAGGTCATGCACAGCCATGTGTGCGAGTGTGTGTGTGTGTGTGTGTGTGTGTGTGTGTGTGTGTGTGTGTGTGTGTGTGAGCGTCAACGTGTGTATGCAGGCATATGGGGCAACGCACCCTGCATATTTTTAATTCAAACACCCTATATTTTTTCTTTGTTTTTCCGCATGTTTTTTCCCCACGAAAAAGGTATTTGTGAAAAAACGAAAAACACACTCATGAAACGGTGTTCACCAGTTCGTAGTAGCCGATGCAGGTCCCAGGGCTCGATCCCTAGTCCTCAGCTTACCTGTGTATAGTATCTGTGTCGACCCCTAGAGTTGAACCCGTGACCTGTGTATTCTAACAGTTGGTAGACTGTCGTAGGGTCCGTACGCAGTAGGGGTTCGATCCGTAGACCTGTCGGGTAGGAGTCCTAGCAGGGTCTAGAAGTCGTAGCTGTAGTTCTCCCGAAAGGTCAAGGTCGAAGGCCAAGTCTACGGCCTTCCGGAAGGTCCGAGTAGTGGCCTTTCGAAGTTGCCCATGTTTAGGCTGAGGCAAGTGGGCAAGTGGTGGAGTCTACCTGTGCTGAGTCAGCAGTCCTTGTCCCAGTCAGTCCTAGCCCAGTCAAGCAAGTACCGCATGGGACTGTGTGCACTACGGGCATGGGAAAGGGCCAGACCAACGAGCTGCAAAGTATAAATCAAAGGGCAGCGCCCAGCCATTCATTCATTCCTGCGTGAGCCATGTGGAAGCGCTGCCACAGCGACTTGTGCGAGGTGGTCTGCAGTGAGCCCGAAGATGAAGTGGGCGAGAGAGAAGAAGCTTAGCCATAGCGATAGGTTAGCAGCGGCCATAGCCGCCATAGCTGTAGACAGAGTTCAGTGTGTGTGTGTGTGTGTGTGTGTGTGTGTACAGAGTATCGCATGTGGGATATCCAGGGTGATCCTGTGTGTGCGAACAGAGAGTTGTGCGGGCGCTGAGTCGCCATAGCCATTGAAGTGAACTTGTACCTGAACTGTGTTCTTGGCTACCATATCTCTGAGTTTTGAGTGGGCGCTTGTCGCCAGTTTGCTGCACACCTGTTTGCATGCATGCGAAGTGTGGATGAGAGCGAGTCTGATTGCATTGGTATCAGAGCTGGTACCCGCTATTCCACGCGCCGTCGGGTATTGCAGGGAAGAGCTACGCGCCATAGCCAGAGTAGCCATCGAAGAAGAAGTCCACCATAGCGGACCTGGAGGTTGAAGAAGCCGCCGCGCGCACCTGCAGAGAAGACCACGACGAAGAAGAAGACACACACACAGAGAGAGAGAGAGAGAGAGAGAGAGAGAGAGAGAGAGA